AACAGTAAAATTACAATACTAACATTTATGAATGTTCATGGAGTTTTTGGGCGGAAACGCGCAGGAAGACCTCAATGCTTTTTTTGTTGACAGCAGATTTATATATGAGTCTCATTACGCATACGTCGCACGTATCGCATTATCACATGCCTTGTAAAAATTCATAATAATGTGACTGAGCAACTGAAGAGTAACTGGTTCAGCGCAGATATTCCTCGCGCTTTGGACTTTGAACCCTGGTTAACAAGCAGATCTGCTGTGAGCTCGTACAGTGCTGTCAGAATACATGCAATTCGTGTGTGTATTAGAACGTTCTGCAGTTTGTTTACTAATTGTTTAAGGCCATTTCACGATTTCAATCATCATACAGTAACCAGCAACAATCAGCCCTTCCTCTTCTCATCGAAGACATGCGCTGCAGTCCTAAACAGTCTCTCGGTGTCAGTGCTTGTAATGAGTTTTGCGTCTTTCTCGGACAGTTTAAAGCTTACACACTGCTGACATGTGTGCTGCATTATAAAGAGTGCGCGCCTCTCACTCTTTTTGATCGCGTCATATCATTGTTTGGTACAATTTATTCTGTCTTTTCGCTTGTTCACTAATTTTTGCTATTTTCGGCTGAATAATTTCGGTTGCCGAACATTTGGTGCATCCCTAGAAAACACCCTTCAGTAATAACCTTCAGAATTTAGATAGGAATCAAACTCTTAAGTTTGGTGTATGTACAGTAAGTGTTGCTGAAGCAGAGGAAAAAACTTTAATGGTATGCATTGTATTTGAAATTACAGACAAAAAGTGATCAAATTTACTCGAATAAACACTTAAATGTCTGAAATTCAACTAGTCTGAAATAAGACATATTATGAAAACTGTCAGTAACTTAGGAGGCATTACTTATGTCTCCTTTAAGTTTCACTTAATTGAGAGTCAGCATTGTCAACATTAATTTAGCAAACTAAATTCTGCTGCCGTCTTGTTTTTTTGCTCTACTAGTTTGAGATTTTGATGCTATGCACATGGGGTTGTTTGGTTTAGTACTGATTGAATGACTAAGGCTACTGTTACTTGTCTGTATGCTTACATTATCTTTGCCTGTATATTGATATTATGATATTATTGATACAGTGTTTGTCATTTTGTCTGACAGTTGGATTGTGTGTGTACGAGTGTGCTGGTATTGATCTGTTGGTTCTATGTATAGTATAATTTTTAGGAATAGTGTACATTTTATATGTATTTTGGAGCATGCATGCATTATGTATTGTTTAATTCTGTTATATTTTTAGGGTGACAATTTTACCATCAGTCCAGGGACTGCAGATGCAAAATAGCCTTTTGGCTAATTCTGGCACATTGTACATTTAATGTTTTATTGATGTGCATTCATTGTCCCTGTCAAAATAAACCTGAAATAAAATAAAATAAACAGATTTGATTCATGGGAACATCCCAGACCTTGGCCTTCTCTTCAGACATCATGTAGAGCTCCTGCTCGCTCATCCAGGCTTCGGCTTCAGCAGCATCAAAGTAGTACTGCTGGGCCTTATGTGCCTCCTCGAGTCTGGCGTGTCGCTTCTCCGTCTCCTGGATGATCAGGCTCCAGAGCTGCTGCAGGTCGGACAGACGGGCTTGGATGGCCTCTACATTGGGACTGTCGGCCTTCAGGATGCTCTGGCTGCGCTCGAATATGTCGTCACAGCGAGGCTGATGGCCCTGGATCTCCTTCTGTAATGTCTGTGGATAAATGTACTAATTTAATAAAATGCACAATTTAGCTCAAATCGTCATGACAACACATAAGAAGCAGCGCAAAAGTTTGGGGTCGGTAAGATTTGCAATGTTTCTGAAAGAAGCTTTTATGTTCACCAAGGCTGCATTTGTTTGCTAATATTGTAAACTTGTATAAAATAACCGCTTTGTATTTGAATATATTGTAAAATGTAATTTATTCTTGTGATTAAAGCTGGTTTTTCAGCACTCTAGTCTTCAGTGTCACATGATCCTTCAGAAATCATTCTAATATGCTGATTTGCTGCTCAACAAACATTTCTGATTATTATTAATGTTGAAAACAGTTGTGCTGCCTCATTTGTTTGTGGAAAAATTAATTATTTGATGAGCATTTCTAAAATCTAAATCTTTTATGCATTATCAGTGTTATTTTAGTATAATTGAGATCCTATTATAGTATTTTTATTTGTTACAGTTTTTATTTGTATATTTTACATTTTCATTCTAATTTTAGTTCAAATTTTAGTCATTTTGTTGTTGTTTTTAGTAGTTTTTTCCATGTCTATATAGTTTTTTATTAAATTTTGATTTCAGTTTTGGTTTTCGTTATTTTAGGTCATCAAGTTAAATAAAATGAGAAATCTTACTAACTGAAAAAAAGGTCAGTTTTAGTTAAGTCTGAACATTCTAAATGTCTTTACTGTCACTCTTGATCAATTTAATGCATCCTTGCTGAATAAAAGTATTAAGTTTTGAAAACAAAGATCTTACTGACCCCAAACTTTTGAACAGTAATGTTGTACAAATAAAAATATATAACCCAAAACAGCACCTTTACGTCATTTTACGAATGAATCTCTGATCAAAAACATCTCTAGTTTGTGTTTCTTTTTAAATAGTAATAAAAAAAAAAGATCCCATAATACATGACCTGGTTCTTCTTCATAAGCAGCTGAACAGTCTGTAAATTGTGGCCATGGTCTGTCGACGTAGCGATAGGCATCCGCTCCTCAACCCAGAGCTGAGGAGAAACAAGAAGTTAAACACATGAACAGCTCAACATTCACACGCACATATAAACCCAAACTCACAATCTCATCCTCCATGTCACGGTTAAACTGATGAATCTCACGAGAGGCCATGAGGAAGTCTTTCCGTTTCTGCAACGGCTCCAGCAGCTCCTTAAACTTCAGCTCCACCTCCTTCCGGCGTCCATCCACCTCATCCGTGTCCTTTCCCTCCTGCCTCAACACATGAGCTTGAGACTGGAGCTCCTCCACCTCCCTCTGACGCACCTCCACCTGGTTCTCCAGCATCTGGACACAGAGGAGAAGAGTTAGTCTCGTCCTTCAGAATATAAACACAGCCGTCAGCTCTGATCCTCTCAAACCTGTTGTTTCTTCATCAGGATGCTGACGCTGGTCAGATCTTTGCCGTAGTCGTCCGATTGGATCTGACCCTCCAGACCCACCAGCCACTTGTCCAGATCGGCGCAGCTCTGCGTGAAGAGCTCGGCTTTGTTGGCGTCAAACAGACACTGGGCTTTAGTCTGCGTCGTGGTTTCCAACTCGGTCCACATCTTCTGCAGCGCCGCCAGCTTCTCCTTCACTACGGCTTCTGTCTCCGGCTTCTCCGAGACCAGCTGCTTCCCTTCCTGCAGACAGGCAGAGATTACAATACACTAACCGTTACATCCACGCATTCATCCAGAACGCTTTGTCAGAGAGCAAACAGTATTTGTGATATACAATGCCAGGCTTATCAGACAACAAGATTAGGAAGCAAGCTAGAAAAGAGGAGAAAATGGAGAAAAGAAAAAAGGTTTGAAAAATGCATTGGTTTAATTTACATTAGAAAAATGTAGAGTTTAACAAACAGTTTAATTATCCTTTTATGACATTTGTTGTTCCTTTTAACATCAAGAATATTATATTAATGATACACTGATATAGTATGGAAGCCCGTTTCCACCATGGAATAAAAAAATATTTTTATCTAACAATTCTAACTTTTTTTCTCACAAGAATCACAAGAATTCTGACTTTCTTTCTCACAATTCTGAGTTTACATTTCGCAATTCAGTTTTTTTTGGTTTCGGTCACAGAATAAAAAATCAAAAAGGTAATTGCAACTTTTTAATCTTATAATTATGACTTGTTTATGACAAGTTTACATGAAAAAAAGACACTGAATTGTGAGAAAAGAAGTCGCAATTGCTTTTTTTTTTTCCTGTGGTGGAAACAGGCTTCCATAATATAGAAACGTATTCTTTATATAGCTTTTTAAAAATTATTTTTATTATAGCTGATGACCGATGATTTTATGCATCCTTACTAAATATCATGAAATTATCATAAAAGCATACAAAGAGGTCACCACACTGCAGAAAATGATTTTCTTATGCAGTATTTTTTTTTCAGTCTTACTTTCCTGTACAAATATCTAAGCATTCTTCAATCAAGATACATCTACTTGAGATGCACACTGACATATTAAGTCAAGTATAAGTGAGTTATGCTTAAATTAGAAAAAATATCTGCCAATGATGTAAGAAAAATAATCTTGGTTTCCCTTTAAAGGGGTGCTATTATGCTTTTTCAGATCTGCAAAGTTACAAAGTTCAAAGTCCACTTCAAAAGGAGATATTTTATTAAACAGAAATCACTTTTTTTCAGCAGATATAATAAATATTTATTTTTTAAATAAATATTTTTTTAATTAAAAAGCATTGTTTGAAAATAAATAAAGACTGCCAAAAAATATTTGTTTTGTAATTTAAAATAAAATAATAATAATTATTATTATTATATTTTTCTTAAATGCTTGATTTTTTTATTTTACAATGAAATATTACAATAGTAATATTTCTTATCTTGTTTTTATTTACATAATTTGTTTTTATTTATATTTATTTAGTAAACCAAAAGTGCAATTATCAAAAATATGGTTTGAAAATGAAATAAGCAATTCAAAAATAAAATTATTACTATGATTCTTATTTAATAATTTTTTTTAAACACACAATTTTTTATTTTACAGTGAAAAATTATGAAAATAATATTTCTAATATGTTTTATTTATTATATCGAAATCGCAATATGGCTTATTGCAATTATCAAAAAGATGGTTTGAAAATAAAGAAATGAAGAGAGCCAAAAAACAAACAAACAAAAAAGTATTGTATATATTTTTCTTAAATATCTTTTTATTTTACAGTGAAATATTACAATATTGAAATTTCTTATTTTGTAAATTTTTTTTGCATTGCATTATAACGTTTAAATTGAAATTGCAATATGTACAATTACCAAAAAGATGGTTAAAAATAAATATATATTGTAATTTACAATCAAAATATTATTATATTATTTTTATTATTATAATATTATGTTTTATATATATATATCAGTATCCCAGCCATATCAGTATCCCATGACCAGTATCTAGCAACATGTTCTGGTGACCAGCTATACTAATACTTTCAGCAGGTATTTGTGCTTTCTACACAGAACTTAAAAATACATTTGTCACCAGCACAGAATGCTATGACTTGCCTGGTGTTGAGTTTGTCTTGTTGGGCTTTGATGTCTTTCTCACTCGGGTGTCCGCTGTGAATGAGCTGCCTGGCGATCTGATTGACAACGGCCACGCGTGACGCCTGGTTATTCATTTCAGGCTCCAGACTCTCAAACCTGGAGGGTAATTAAAACATTTCATCACACAATCATCAAGAACAGCACTCCTGAAGAATCATGTTTTACAATAAGGGCCAATTTGTCCTTGAGAAATGTAAAATGTGATACCTGGCCACACTAGAGTGAGTTTAATCTGTTATCGAGCTCAGAGAACGTTCAGATGATCATTTGTACTGCTGTTCTCCAGCGGCGTGACTCAGCATGAACAGCTGTGGCGGTAAACGCTCCTAATTACACTGGCTTGAGAAAGCCAAAATTCTACTACCTAAACTTATTAGTCATTATTATTTTTCTTAGACAAATATCCCTAGAGCATTCAAGCTACATCCACCAAACTCGTCTCAGACCTTCAGACTTCTGAACACCCTAGAAACCTTCTAAAAGCAACACAGAACACCCTAATAACCATCTTGCAACATCCTTGCAACAACCCAGAACACCACAGTAACTGCCTAGCAACCGGACAGCAATCCGTTTATGGCTGCATGGACTTAAAAACTTCAAACTTGTAAAATTCCTTAATTTAAAAATGCTTAAAAATGTAGGTTTTTAAACTACATCAAACTTAAAACTGCTTCACACATTTAAAACAACCTTTTAAAGCTTTTTAAGCTACTTCAAAGTTCAAATTGATTCAGAATGCACATATTTAAACTTTCAAACATAAAACTGCTTCAAGCTTTTAAAACTATTTCAAATTGAAAACGTAAAACTCTTTCAAACCTTGCATTTTGAAAACTAATTCAAACCTAAAACTCTTTCAAAATGTACGTTTTTTAAAGTTACTTCAAACATAAAATTGGTTCAAAATGCACATTTACAGCTTTTAAAACTACTTTTAACTTAAAACTGCTTTAAATTCAAGTTTTTAAAAATCACTTGAAATTCAAAAAAGCTTTACACTTTTAAAACTGTCAAACTTAAAATGCCTCCAAACCTTGGATTTTTAAAACTACTTCAAACTTTTCAAACTAAATCCAACTTAAAACCGCTTCAAGCTTTTAAAACTACTTTTACCGTAAAACTGCTTTAAATTCAAGTTTAAATTCAACTAATTCAAACTTCAAACATCAAGCTTTAAACTGCTTCAAACTTAAAACCTTTTCAAAATGCAATCTTTTAAACTATTTCAGACTTAAAAAGACTTCAGACTGCTTTAAAATTCAAATTCTAAAAAATCCTTCAAATATAAAACTGCTTCAAAATTCTAGCTTTATAAATGATATCAAACTTAAAACTGCTTCAAGCTTCTAAAACGACATTTTTTTTATTAAAGTTTTTAAAGATAATTCAAATTTAACACTACTTTGAAACTATCTGGATAGGTTTTCTCAAGCCAACATCAAACATTTAAAAATGATGCAAATCAAGTAATAGCTCAAAACCTGCAAAGTTAGTGAAATTTGCAATGCCACAAATTCCAACTAATTGGCACAAGCCTGTGATAAATACGACCACAAATACACAGACTTGACCTCTCACCTGTGCTGAATGACCTCCAGGTCCTCCAGTTTCTCTGGGATCTCCATGCTGTTGAGCCACAGCTCCTTCTCGTCGATCCAGTGCTCACACGCGTCCGCCTCGCTGAACATCTTATAGAGTGCCAGGGCGTCCTGCAGGGCCTGTTTCCTCAGCCTGCTGAGCTCGGAGACCTCCTTATAGCGCTCCTCGATGCCCGCCAGCCGCTCGTTGACGTTGGCAGCCTGCACCTGTTCTGGAGGCAGGGACTGGGCCTGTTCGTGAAGAGCGTCAATCACCGAGCGATAACTAGCGACCTCGGCAGAGGCGTCTTTGTGTTTCTTGACCAAAGCTTGAGTGGAGAATTCATCGTGGCCCACGTCTGCGGTGGAGACGATTCGGAGCGCGTCTAAGGTCCAGGTGTCGACGTCATCCGCATCGGCCTGGAACTGGTGAAGGCTGCAAGCCTCTTCCAGGCGTTTTTTCCTCACCGCAGCCAGCTGTTCCAGAGCGGCCCATTGGGCCTGGATGTCGGCGATACGTTCGCGAATCTTATCTTCACCGAAGTGCCCAGCGTCGGCCATGGCTTGACCTTCGCGCACCGTGTGCTGGAGGTGACCGGCGCGGCCGCTCATTTCATCCTCGAGAGCACGGTGTTGACTCAGTAGACGCACGGCGCCCGTCAGATCCTTGCCGCAGTCGTCCGAGGACAGGATCTGCTCTTTCTCGCGAATCCAGCCCTCCTCCTCCGCCATCTCCCAGAAGAACTTCCACAGGCGGCGGGACTCTTCCAGACGGGCGCGGCGCTCCACTGCCAGCTGGGTCAGCTCCTGATAGCAGAACTCCATGTGGGCCACGCGGTCCCGGATGACCTGAGGGTCACAGGGTTTGTAGCCTGCATCGAATCGGAGAAGATAGAAAACATTAAAGAAGCAAGAAACTAGGGCTGGGTGATATGGCCCAAACAATTATCACCATAATTTTTTTCATAAATCGATGCATCGTGAATCGAGAAATGATTCAGCATCGATTCTGAGCTTTTCCGAATGCATCGCGATTCTTTCTCGAGTCGATTCTGAGCTTAATTCTGAACAGCACGTACTCTGCTTGTTTCCAAATCCTTACACTTGAACCTAAAATAATGATTCATTTACATTACATTACAAGTCGATGCTTTTATCCAAAGCGACTTACAAATGAGGACAATGGAAGCAATCGAAATCAACAAAAGATATGCAAGTGCTACAACAAGACTCAGTTAGCTTAACACAGTACATGTAGCAAGGTGTTTTTTTAAAATCATATAATAAATAAAAAGAAAACAGATAGAATAGAAAAAGAATAGAGCAAGCTAGTGTTAGAGGCCTTTTTTGCTTTTGTTAATTGTATAATAAATACAAAGAAAACAGATAGAATACAAAAAGAATAGAGAAGCTAGTGTTAGGCTTTTTTAAAGAAAACAAGCAGGCCTAGCAAGTCTAAAAGGGGCAATTTTTTTAAAAGAATAGAATTAGAATAGAGTGTTAGAGTTAGAGGGTCAAATAAAGATGGAAGAGATAATTCAATCATTCATAAATTCGAAAAGGTTGAAGCGAATTACAAGGGTGTTCACAGTGGGCTTTTTACATTAATCCCGCGTCATAAAAGCATTCTGAGCCGAGGTGAAATTACAGACTCAGCCGAACGCACAAATGCTCTTCGGCGCTCTTCTTCATCGGCATTTGAGTGTGCAGATAAAAACTAGAGTAGAGCGCCATCTGCTGTTAAAATCTAAGCTCAGAATCGATTTAAGAGAGAATCGCGATGCATTCGGAAGATCTTAGAATCGATCCACGAATCGATTCTGCATCGATTTATCGTCACAGCCCTAGTCGATATCGATAATTATCACGATAAATGTCAAATCTTTATTTAAGTTTATATAAGTTTAAAGCCAGATTTTTGCTCCAAAGCGAAAGTTGTTGAAACCAGACTGTTAATTTTCCTTAACAAAATAAATATCTTAATAGAAAAATACATTTCTTAGTTTCTGCATGTTCTAATGAGTGATATTGTTTCAAATCAAGAAACAGGTTTGTGTTGCCTGATAATATTAATAATAATATTACTTTTTTTATCTTTTAGAAATGCACATTTGGTAGTAGTAGAAGCATGAGTTAGGATGCAGATGCAAATTTTTGTTCATTTTAAAAAAATTGTAGCAACCTCATTTTTACATGGTAATTTATTTTATTTTAATGAATCGTTGGTCTTCCATAGTAGAATACATTTAAATTATGATAATCACAGTTAAAACCACACATAGCACCTCAATACTATGGTAAAAATGTAACTATGGTTTTTAGGTATTTGTATAAAAAACAGTATTCTAAAGACATTCAGTATAAATGCACACATGCTATAGCTTAATCACAAAAAATATTGTAATTATATTCCATTACTCCTTTAATAATATAATAAAATTCGACATGAATAGCCCACATTTCTGCCACAATACCACGATGCAGTTAGTGTTTCTACATTAAATCTATGGTAAATGATGGCGATTTGTAGATTGAGAAGTCTTCTGACTGTCTCGTTGCACACAGTGTTTCTGCTATTTACATGTATATATTTATATTCCGTTAAACTTTGATCCGAGCGGATAAACGGTCCATGTGGCATCGTTAGCGTGGTTTCCTTTCTTTTTTGGCGCATAAACATTATCGAACATTTATCGAACTCTTCATATCATTTTATCGTTTTAAAAATATATCATGATAATTATCGTTATCGATTTATCGCCTAAACCTACAAGAAACAATAGATAAATACACTGTAAAAATGTATTTATTGTATAAATAAATACAAGAAGCCCAGTATAAATGTATACATTTTTTGGAACTTGTGTATAAAACAGAACACTGAAGCGTGTTGCATGAAAACACTCTTTCGGGCTTTCTAAAATTGTATGTGTTTAACACCGTTTCTTTGTGAAATTTCTGGGTAAAAACTGTTTCTACACCAATTATTTTCAGTGCAGAGTTGAGAGAGAAGGAAATAGGGAAACAGATGGAGAGGACAATTGGTTAAAGACACGTTTAGCCACTTTTGACCTGAAGTTCTGTTTTTATTCTTCATAAGCTGGTTCACTATTATTATGTAGGCTAGAGTGAGTTTCTTGAATTGTAAGTCCATATGCTTTTGAAAAAAGGATTCCCACCCTTTATGAACAATGACTTTAAATGACTATTGTAGTGCTGCTTAAGTCATATTAAAATTATTTAATAGAGTTTGCTGGGGATGAATCCATTTCATATGCTTATGTAATACATACACTAAATTTCAATATATAATATATATATACAGTCATATAAAGAAATGAAAATGTATAAACAGATGAAAATGTAAATTAAAACTGTTTGTTTTCATATAACATTTATTATATATCATAATATATCAAATAATATTAATATAAATGTATAAAAACAAAATTCATCATAAATATTGAAATATAAATAAACTGGTTTAAATGATAAATAAATAAATAAACTGAAAATATAAAAGCAAAAGCGAATACAAAATTTAACAATACATTAAAGCTGATGTCAGGAACTAATCTTGTAATGCAGAAATGTCAAAAAAAATGTATTTTGTATATGTGCACACAAATAAAAAGCAGCTCAAATGCGGTTTGGACTTCATTTGTAGCATAACCAGAGACATTTATATTCACTATAAAAAATGTTCATGACTTTTCCACGCCTGTTAAAATTTATAACATTTCCTTGACTTTTCCTGGCCTGCAAATCAGAGTTTTAAAACTCCCTGTTATTTCCCAACAAAACCCAACCTGGACCAGCTCTGCATGCTTCCTCTGAATAAAAACAGCTCTAAACTGAATCATGAACTCTGGACTGTTAGATTCTATTCTAGCAGACTGAACCTGGCCGCCCTATTTTTATTGTCGTTCTGAAAGAATGGATTCTTTGCTATGAATATTGGCCAGAAATAACTAGTCAGTCTCTGAAGGAATAAAGACTAAGGAGCTCTTCTTACCCTCATCATCCACGGCAAGCTTCTGTGCGTTGGCGTTGACGGCTTTGACGCGGTCGGCCTGTATGCCGATGTCGGCCTCCACCAGAGCGTGCTTCTGCAGCAGATCCTCCACTCCCAGCAAATGCTTCCCGTAATCCTGAGACAGCAGCAGCATCTGTGGAGGACAGGAGACCAGATCAGGACATCCAACGTACAACTTCATCATTTAGATTAGCATTCACTTCCATTTGAAGCTGATGCATTAATCTAGTTTATACTGAAGCTTGGCACTGTGTGCCGCAAATTCTGTCGGCTCTAATGATACATTGATTGTCATGTTCCTCATTTGTAAGTCGCTTTGGATAAAAGCATCTGCTAAACTAATAAATGTAACATCAAAAAGCTAAACCATCGGGTTATATTCTAAACATTACGAAATATGCAATAAAATGGGTTCAATTATAGCAGCTACTCTAATTTCTCTCTATTACCTCCTCTGTTTCTGCCACGGGATGTAACTAGGATTTACACAAGGTTCAGTCTGGATCCTGCCCTTAAAAGAGATGCTACCAACCCCTCAGAGGACCTTTTGATCGCAATATATAATCATTGCTGTTAATAGTGTTCACTGTCTTTTTGAATACATGACATTAACTAACTGCTTGATTTTTACTGAATATTTCTGCCATATGGACATCACCACTGATAAGCTATAATGTAGAAACTTGAATTTTCTGTAAAGCTGCTTTGCAACGATTTGCATCGTGAAAAGCGCTATACAAATAAACTTGAATTGAAATGTTAAAGCTTCAATAATATTGGTCTACTGGGATTTTAACAGGTCAGAGGAGCATTTTAAAAACATACAAATTTGAGAGTTTGTTGGTGTCAGTGTTATTTTAGTATAATTGAGATTTTATTAATATTTTTAATTCGTTTTTATTCTTATATTTTCTGTTTTCGTTGTTTTAATTTTCAGTTCAATTTTTAGTAATTTTGTTGTGTGTTTTTGTAATTTTTCGTAGTTTTTTTTATATGTCTATATAGCTTTTGTTAATTTTTAGTTCAGTTTTAGTTATTTAAGTATGTCAAGATAAACTAAATAAAATAAAGAAATGTTGTCTTGGCAATTAGCAAAAATAAAATTAATAAAAAAATATTTTTATGGTTTTACTTTTAGTTAATTATAATAACCCTGATGATTCCATGTCAGGCAGTGTTTTTAGTGTTAACTAATACTCAAACTGAAGCTAAAACTATTAAAAAAGGTTTTCGTTAATTAAAATAAGCCTGAAATAAAACACTGAAAAGAAAAAAAATGCTGCCTAACTGAAATAACAACTAACTGAAATCAAATAAGTTTAAGCTGAAGTACTAAAATGACTAAAACTGAAATAAAAAATATAAATTAAACCGAAATAGGAAAACGGAATATTTACAATAAATAAAAAAATAAAATAAAAATGACAAAAGAACACAACAAAAAGCTTTTAACAGGTCAGAGCAACCTATTATAAAAAAAAAATAATAATAAAAAAAAAAAAATATATATATATATATATTGAGGGAAAATAATAAATGAGTTTCAACATTATGATTATTATTATTGCAAAAACAGAACTGCATCTATAGGGCCCAAAACATATAGAGCATAGTCAATCTAAGCAAATATTATGGTTAATAAAACCTAAAGCAAATAATCACAACATCTTTAAACATATTAAAAATTTAGCTGGACAATTTTTACCTACACTCTTAAAAATAAAGGTGCTTCAAAAGGCTCTTCAAGCGATGCCATAGCGATGCAACAAAGAAGCATTCAGTCAAAGACTCTTTAAAGAACCATCTCTTTCTTAACTTTTTATAATCTGAAGAACCTTCTTTCGCCACAAAGAAGCTTTTGTGAAACAGAAAGGTTCTTCAGATGTTAAAGGTTCTTTATGGAACCATTTAGACAAAAAGGTTCTTCTATGGCATCGTGAAGCACCTTTATTTTTAAGAGTGTA